ATGTTTTTCCAAAAAATAAAATAATTTTCTGTAAACAAAAAAACAAAAGAAAATTCATATCTAAGATATTAATTTAAAAATATAAAATATCCAATAAATTTTCAGAAGTAAGGTCTCTAAATTAGTTTCATTCCAACTTGAATAAAGTCCTTCCAATATTTTCTTGCTTTATTAGATGACATGCTAATTGTTGATGACAATATTAAGAACAATACATATTTGAAAAAGAAATCTGTCTGAAAGAGACTAACAATGTGTAAATAAAGAAATCGTTATCATAACTTGCAAAGAAAATAAAAGAAAGAAACAAAAGAGAATGTTTGAGGGAGAAAGCATAATATTCTATCAGAGAAGTAGAAACCTTTATTGATTAGATGGCTGATTTATGTTGACTTTCATGATTTTCAGCACTCATTCTTTTTAATTTCATTAGAATTAACATTAAGCTCGATGATTGGTATTGATTTATGAAAAACTTACTCCTACTCTGTTATTTAACATCTCTATTGATAAGATATTAGCTTTCTCCATGGTGTATTTGTAAAGCGCATCTAGGTGATTATATTATGGACCAAAAGTTATTCTTGTGGATAGTTGATCTAAAGAGGACTTTAGAAATTGTAACAATTTTAATTTATCTTGCCTTGCATGTGATTGTATTCTTTATTGTTCCATTCCTTTTTTGATTGGCTTAAGTATTGTTATTTATTAGAGCTTAATATATTATTTTTGACCTACACGAAGAGGAAAAAGACAATCTTTAAATGTTGCACATTCATGCATCTATTCCCAACGTTCAAAAACATAACACGTGGTCCAAGAACACCAGAAACCACGGAAGCAACCGAATCAATCGCACAAAACCTTACACGATCCATCCAAAACTACGCCACGGAGCTAACATTCTCCCCACCGATCAACCGCAAGATAGAAACGCGACAAAAATCGACCAAATCGCAAGACAGGGGATTCGGGGACTCACTGTAACCATCTTGGACGAGGTAATTGAAGGTGTGGCCGTCGCAATTGTAGGTAAACTTGTTGCTGGTGGCGGGGAGCTTTTGGAGGCATTGGGAGGCGACGGTGGTGAAGTTGCCGGTGAACTCGGTGTATTCCGCCAAGATCACCGTCCCTCGGGCGACGAAACTATAGATCAGAGATTGCTGCCCCATCTCCCCGCCACCAGAAGGAGAAACCGTAACCCTAGATCTGCAGAAGCTCTAAGGGAGGAGGAGCGTGAGGAGATCGAGCAATGACGACGTAAAAAGGGGCTGTTCTGTTTTTATTATTCGCATTTGGAAGCTCGGGGAAATGATGCCAAGAATAAATGTTTATGCATCCCACGGGTTCTATTTTTGGGAGGGATCCGTTCCGTTTCAGGGAGAAGCGTGTTTTGCCCTTACCCTCTTCGATGTTAAGGGATGACAGCAGTTGTTGAGGTTGGTTTTGGTATTGTCCAAGTTTTTGATGCATTTATGAATTAAAAATAATGTTTATCTTTATTTACACCTTTTTTTTTTAGAAAATTCATTTAATGGTCATCGCTTAACAGTTAATTTTAGATGGTATGAGATCCAATGTGTAGGGACGAAATCCAAATGACAATTTTTGTTTTTGAATTTTACTATTTGTTTGTCGGACATTATCGGATTATAAAGAATGTGAGTATCATGATTATAAATTTTTTATTATTTAATTTTTACAAATTAAAAAAAATATTATTTTATTAAATGAAGATAGGGTTATTCATATATTATCTTTATTTTTAACTTTTTTATTTACAAATAATAAATTATATTTGATCCCAAAATCTTGTCATTGTTAATCAAATTATTTATAATTTAATATATAAAAATTTATGAGTGAACTTTTGAAAAAATAAATCTCTACTTTTTGAAATTGTCCCAATAAGCCTTTACTTTTAAAAAATTTCAAAAGAGCGCCCCCTACCCATGTGAAAAGATCATTTTGTCATTTCTTACGCTAGACTCAACCTATGAGAGGCGCCTTCACTAACCTCATCGACCCAACTATTACATGCCTCGCCCACAACTCTCATGACGACAAAGGTGTGTGCCCCTCTCCTTCTTTCTCCTTTACAATCAATAGCGAGGGCACATGGATCACCCCATCTCCTTCTTCATATATGGTTAACGACGCAAGGGGGGCTTGCAGGCGATGAGAAGGGCTATGAGTGAGTAGAGAGGGTGGGTCTACAAGCAACAATAGTAATGGCTATGGACGATTGTTTGAGGTGAAAGCATGACCACAGGAGGTAAAGGGCAATGGCCAATAGGTGTAAATGGGTCATTTTAAAAGAAAAATAAATTGTTTCAAAAATTTTTAAAGTAGAGATATCTCAATGAAATATTTTGAAGCATGAACTTATTTTGAAAATTGACTCAAAATTTATTTGATAAGGTCTTAACCTCTCAATCTTTGTTAAATAGACCTAATACACCATTATGAGTCTAATATTTTAATAAAAAATATTAGATAAAATTTTTAATCATCAACCTTCAATAAGTATGTTCTAATATTTTATGTATGCTTTATGTATAAAAATCATCGAGTATTTGGAATCATTATTCTTTGATAAGTAAATATATTATTACTAGATAAATATTTTAATATATGAAAAATTTATTGAATGAGGTATTAATTGATGGATATGGTATACCATCACATTAAGTGTAAAAATTTATCAAATAAAATTTAAAATAAATATATTTTTGATGATTAGATATTATTAAAAAAAAAATCTTGATGTCTTAGTCAACTCGACGTGGTCCAAACCTGTGTATGTAGGAATGTCCAAAGTATCTCGAAGTATTGCACTCCCGATGTGAAAGTATTGCGCTATTGAAGTAGATGTATTCACACTCCCGAGTTAAAAGTTTTATACTCCTAAGGTGGAGGTATTGTATTCCCGATGTACCACCTACATGAAGATTAAGATCAAGGGAGGTTTCTAAACCTAATTTTTTTAATGCTCAAATTAATAATATGAGGCCCCTAAATATATGCTCAAATAGTTCAGGAAAGGAGAGAGCTCTCCTTTTCCTTGTTTAGAATATATTTTTATAAGTAGAGGAACGAAGCTTGTGATGACCTTATCATGAAGGAAGAGAAAAATTTAAGATTATTTTTCTTATCATAAAGGGAGAGAAGGAAGCTTATGATTGTCTTCCTTGTCATTATCGTAATGAAGAAGGAAACTTATATTTTTCTTCGAAGCGGATGACTTGAATCTCATATGGCAACCATGTGCCAGACGATATATTTCCTATCACGTATGAGATAGATTTATATTAGTGTTTCTTACTTAAAAAATATTTTCTTTTTTAGTTCAACTACCTATCACATATGAGATAGATTTATATTAGTGTTTCTTACTTAAAAAATATTTTCTTTTTTACTTCAACTATTTTAGTACTAGATTGTTCTGTTTCTTAAATAAAGCTCAGGAACTCATTACCTGTAACAACCCTTTACTTATTATTTCTCCATGTTTTTGTGAGGCTTATACAAAGAAAATTAATGGAACTTCCATCGCTACTTAGATCTTTATTTTGCCATCGAAGCATTATCTTCGTCATCCTTATTTACTCAGGTAGACAGATGAATGATGATGGTAGTTTTGAATAAATTCTCAATCAAAGCCTATATAAATATTAAGAATAAGCCCTTTGGACAATTAGCCGCACTTAAGAGTTGAATTATAATCAATAATAATCTATTTTATAATTTTATAGAAAGGATAGAAGACATGAATAATCATCCTATTATCAATATTACCTTTTAGACATTTTTAACATTCTGATCCTTAGATTTTAAAATAATTATATTAAAATTTTTATAGTTATAAAAGTGCAACGTTTAATTTTACCGACGGAAGTTATAACAAATGGCATCATATGCATAAATAACACGAAAACGATAGACAAAAGGGTAATTTTAATATCCCAATTACGTTTTCGATGGTGGTGGACGGTGACGTCGCTAGAGGTTGCAAATGGTTGTGATCAGCAAGAATGATGCAGTTTTCAACAAGAACACTAGGAACTTCTTATGGGGGGAGGAGGAGAATGAGGAGGGAGAGTGGTGGTTGAGAGGTGAGGTAAAGGGAGAGGAAGAAGATGATGATGCAGATGTCGACGCTTTGCATCTGCATCGATGTCGATGCAAATGCCACTCTATATCTATATCAGCACCGACAATGATGCGGGGAAGGATGGTGCTCATCCTTCTTCCCCCTCTTCCCTTATCTCTCATCATTTTCCCCTTTTGTTGCTTGGCATGTACAAGGGGTGGGAAGAAGGATGAGCGATGCTCGGCATCCCCACATCGCTCATCCTTCTTCCCACCCATTGTGCATGCCAAGCAACAAAAGGGGAAAAGGATGAGAGATTAGGGAAGAGGGGAAGAAGGATGAGCACCATCCTTCCTCGCATCACTATTAGTGTCGACGCAGATATGGAGTGACACTTCTGTTGCTCCACATTTGCATCGACACTGACATAGTTATCGTGTGGCATCGACGTAGATATAGAGTGTCGGCATCTGCGTTGTTCTCTTTCTCCTCTCTCTTTATCTCACCTCTCACATTCGCTCTCCTTCTTTATCCTTCTCCTCCCTCGTAAAAAGTCCATAGCGTTCTCACTAATCACCAACCACCCATGGCCTCATTACCATCGAAAATATAATTGAGATTTTAAAATTATCTTTTTTATAGATTATTAAAATTATATTTTTATCAATTATTTTTGTATTATTTCTTTATATGCTGTTATATCTTTTGTCGATGGTATTGAAATAAATGAAGTTAAATATTTTACTTACATATTATAATATAATTTTTTAAGTTTAAAGATCGGGATAGTTTTTAATTAGCCCTCTTTACTGTACATCTACAATATGACGCTAATCTTACAGGTATTTGTGATTAAGGACTGATTTGATGCTAATCTAACTTTTGGTATTTCCAATCTTTATTTTGCCCATACTAGTGAGAAAAGGGTCTCTCCGACTCAGAGCTCGATTTCTCTCTTGAACGACCGACTTCCATTTTTAGCGCTGCCCTTTCTATTTCTCTCGTTGCCACCACAGTGCACAGACAACACCGATGGCTCCTCCCCGAGAAGAGGAAGGCTCGAGAGCAACCGAGGAAAAGGAAAGCGAAAATTATGTTGAAGAAGAAGCAGGAGGAGACGACGAGGACGAAGCACAAGAAGATGCTCCTTCCCACCTTCCCCTCGCCCCTTGCTCGGAGGTAGCCTAATATTGAAAGACCAAATAGTTTTTCTTGTCCCTCTTTGCTTCTACTCGTAAAAAACTTGATGATTGTCTGATTAGGTCGAGTCGTAAACCTGCTTGTTGACACTATTTCTCGGCAACCTGGTGTCTAATGTGGACTTTCGCTTCCTGGAGCATCTGCTGAAAAACCAATGCTCTCTTTCACACATAAACTCGAACATTTATGCTTCTTTTAATATATTTTTTTTCTTTTTATGTTTCAAGTACTTTTGATACATCTCTCGGTAAGTGGCAAATACTGGTGTTGCATGGAACAACACTTGTCGTGATTAAAGGATGGTTGTTGCAATCATGAATATTTTCCAAGTAACGAGTCTTAAAAATTAGTAACCGAATAAATGTTTAAGCTGTATGTATATTTGTGCGGTATGAGTATTATTCTTAAAATGTCTGAGATTAATAATGAGATTTACATTTCAGAGCAACTCATGTAGCAACCGGAAAAAGATTAAGTAGAAGCTATAGATCATTCGGAGCTAAGAAAACAGAGCAGGGAGATATCAGAAGAGTAAAATTGGAGAAGTAATGTCAATGAAGAATAAAATAAAGAGAGAATGCCAACCAAGCTATTAGAAAGCAAATATTTGGGGATAATAATAGAGGGGTGAGAATAAGAATCGAGGAAGAAGCTTACCATCGCAACTCATTGTCCCCTCACAGTCTCTCAGTTTGTCCAACTTTTACACTGATTTATACATTTTCGAATAGAATCCTTTGATAATTCATATTGTTATCATTTTTGTTGTTTTGGATGGGATGCAGAAAGGGGTTGTTAAGGCCTTATTGATTAGATATTGGCCAAATAGTTGTTAGAATAATTAGGATTTGTTGAAAGGGTGGCATGTGAAGTTCAACTTGAAGCGCGTACTCAAAGGTTTAAAATCTTGGTTTGGTGTTGATCCGGTTGGCGACTGAACTAGTATGTTTCTGATGTAGCGACACTTGTTGTTTCGGTTTGGTAATGTTTGGACTAGAGAGAAAGGAGGAGGAAGAAGAGCAGGGGGGAGATAGAGATTGGGCAGTAAGCTCAGTCCCAACCAGTTATGGGCGTGACTAATGATCTGCATACCAATTCATGGTCGGACAGATAATTGCCAACCTGTACCAATGCTATCCTTGGTTTTCAATACCTTGGGTATAAGTATGAAATATAAATAACTCTACTTGGTTGTCAAATAAGATTAGATGCAATTGGCTTGCTCTAATTAATAAAGGAATCTTTGGTTCGAAGGGTGATGCATCCATGACTTGTACAATGAAAATGATCTTCTTCGTGAAGTTTTGCTCCTCGTCCTACTTTATTTTTGAGCTTTGTGCTTCCTTAATATCCCCAGCTACGCTTCCAATCCTGTTGACTTTCTAGAATTCATATTTTTACATGATTTGTGATCTTACGACATGGACATCATGCAGATATTTGTGCAGAGTCTGAATACCGATTCAATAGTCAGCTGTTATTCTATGCATTACCTTTTTTCTCTTTTAGGTATAACCTCTTTTAACTTATAGTTAGCCTCCTTAAATACTACAGATTAGTACTTAATGACAAGTCTTGTTAATGAATCATGGATGCCAGTACAGATAGTTTTGATTTTGTTGAAGCTTTATGTTGAGAAGTCTAAATTGACTTTATTAAGATTTTTTGTTGTATCACTTGTATGCAGCCTCCATTTTCTAGGTACAGAATCTAACATACTTGAAGTAGTACTATCTGAAGTTGTAATTGCTAGAGAGTTTTCATCATTTTCATTTAAGAGCTCCCTCTGTATAAAAGAGTATGATGATGATGTTTATTGTCAATAGTGATCTAAAAGCTCAGATTTTCTGATGGTTTTTTTATTTATGTAGATACTAGATATACCAACAACTGTTGACCCCAGCTATATCATCTCTCTTATACGGAGACTTCTGCCACATAATTCGAGGGAAGGGACTCAATCTCAAGTGACAGGTAATCAACTAAAGAATAAGTATGCTTTCTGGAACAGAAATGTGTGAATCTAATTGTCTTCATTAATAAAAAAACTGTGGTGCATAATTACTTTTAAAAAGATCTTTTACATGGCTTTTCACAACAAAAAGAACCATAGTTTTGAAAGAATGTTGATGATTATAGTATTTAACAGAAAATTCTGCTACATCTGTGATGGGTTGTGAGATGAAGCGGGAACTCAGAAATGAAGAAAGAAGTGTTGTTTTAGATGATAGACAATCATTAACCGAAGACACAAAAGATCCTTGGGAAGACTGTGGTTGTGTACTTTGGGATCTCGCCGCTAGCAAATCTAATGCTGAACTAATGGTATATTCTAAGACTTAATATTTCATTATTTCTTTTCTAACTCAAACTACTGGTTACAGTTAAAAGTTCAAACATAAATAAAGAAGTCACCGGGCTTAGTTCCTGTTCTTACGCTTAAATGTTCATTATAAAGAACTTTCTGTCCTTTGTATGGAAGGCTTATAATTTTATCTATGCTATTAACATGTGAAATATGGATGATTTTTTTATTATTATTCAAGTATTCAACTTTTGATATTGATACCTGATGGTTCTGCCAATCATTTTGTCAGTTACACCAAATGCTTGGAATTGAATACAATTTTTTTGGTTTGTTGATGACAATTGGTGGTTAGGATCCTACTAGTATAAACAGTTAGGGTGTTCTACTTTGGCTGACTTAAATTAGTTTAGTTGATACAATTTGCTCAAACAGGTCTGTTTGTTGGGAGTCCACCAAAAACTAAGGCTGGTTTAGTTTTGAGACACATGGCAAAATTGTGTTTGGTTCTTGTGAGATTGAGGATGTATATACCAATCCAACATTGGTTTCTATAGCAGACTGGTGTGGTATCAGTATAACAAGATGTACTGCCAATTCTCACTCGAAAATAAATTAAAAATGAATATGCAAGGATTAAGTTTTCAGTTATACTGGTTGATATGGGCCAGTTCGTATTAGTCCAACCAAGGACCAATACTGGTTGATATAGATTGGTATATTATCTGGTATACCAGTCTTGTACCAGTTTAACTGATTAACAAAATTTATATTGAATGAGATTTAAATTTTTGTCAAGCAGTGCCCAAGTATATGTATTATTACTAGTTCCTTATCAAAATGGTAAATACCAATAATACATATTGATCCATCTGGTTTTTAAACCATGGTTGCTACATTCAAGTTTTCGAAGTTTGTTTGTTTTTTTGGTCATCTCAAGCGTATTAAGATACTGGTTGGATTGAAATGTATAGATTAGTACCGACTGGTCTAGCCAAGCATTAGAATAGGGTCATACAACTCATTATCGTTTGGTATGCCATTAATTTTCCTTTTCTTATTATTGTTTCTAGAAACAGTAATGGTACAAGTTGGAATACTGTTTGATGCCTATGGTTGCAATCCTATAGGCTGTTGAAAATTGAAACTAGTGTAGGAGCAGCTTTTAAAACATTAATTTGGTATAAAATATTTGCATTCACATAGAAAGTGTTGGCAAAATGTTTGATCCTTGTAAAATATGTACAAGAAGAGAGTACTAGTAAATAGTAATATATTGGAATCTATGGTATGTTTACACAAATACAGAGCATTTGCAAACAGGATGCAAACACGTCGACGTATCAAGTTATAAACATGGTTTGCATTATCGGTCTGTACCAATGTATCGAGCTATACCAAGTGTATTTACACATGGTACAGTAGGGTATATCGATGTACTACCTATATCAATCCTCTGTCATATTGATACGTACCACCCGTACCAAGTAGTATGCTTCGATACGTCAAACCTTGGTTATAAAGTCAAAAATGACTACACAAACATGACAATAATACATTTTGTATTTTCTGTGAATTGTTATAATTCATATGTAGTATAATACAGATAGCTACAAGCATCGTGTATGTATAATTCATATGCGCATAAAGACCGTTCTGATAAATTAGAAACATTAATAATAATCCAAATATGAAATAAAATTTTGAGGATTAAACTAAATGTCCTACTTAGATTCATATTTTCAAGATTCAACTTTTCTTCAAGCCTTATTTCTCTAATTAGCTATATGTATTGAGAGTTATTGAATGATAGTCAGTGTCTGACACAAAAAGGGCTAGTATTTTTAAGTGTCTATGCTTCATAAATTGGCATGCTATGTATGTCCCAAAAGACATGAATCAACATGGTTTCATGGACTCTAGTCTACTCTAAACCTGTGTAACATGCATCTTTGTCATGCTTGTCCTTTGGATCAATAACTTTCCAGCATGAATCAACACAGACTAATACTTAAATCTATGGTTATTTACTTGTTTAGGCCCTTATTGTGCAATTGTAAATTGTTTAGCTTTATTTTGTTCCTTTTGAGAACTTAAAGTCAAGTATTTTAATTTATTAGTTAGTCATGGTACTTTATACACTATCCCATATCCATGCCCAAAAAGGAACAAAATCTCATAAACCCAATATTTTGAAAATCCATGACAAAGATTTTTCGTGCATTTTGCTAATGTAGATAGTTGATATCTGTATGTTTGAGAAACAAAACAAAGTGAAGTAACTTTTTTGTGATGTTTTTGATAGGATATGACATTACTATTAGGCCTTTCTGTAATTTTAGCAGTAAAGGTCTTCAAAGGAAGAACAAGGTAGAAGAGAGATTTGTTGATGAATAAACTCTTACTAAACTAATTGCATAAAAGAAATAATGTCTTCAAGCATGGCTTTTAGTCTTTGTGAGCTCTCAATATAAATATATAGAAAAAAGTAAATCCTGTCATCCCAAGCATTCCTACTAAAATTAGAGCCTAGAACTCTCAAAGTATAAGTCCTGATAATAACTTATTTGACCTACACAAGATGCATATTGGAACTCCTTGAAACCATAAAATTAGAAGAGGACACCAAGGACTTCGTAAAATAACTACTGAACTAATGGACAAAATCTATCTGAAAATGATAGAATAATGAAAAAATCTATCATATCACTACTAAAATTTGATGAGGAGGTTCGTTCAATCCTCACCTTTCCTAACTTAATTAGGACTCTTGAGGAAGGATAGCTTCCCTCCTATTTCAACTAGGTTTTAGCTGTCGACTCTCTTTTGAAGTTAGAGAGGCAGCCTGCAAATTGCTATATGAGCTGGAAAATATTCATATTGTGCTAATTTTGGCCCTTTTGCATATAATTTTGCTGGATTCATGTGTCGAAGGGCTGCACCAAGCTGTCTTGAGCTGAATTGGTCTAGAAGACTAATTTACAGATGATAGGCCATGGCCCTGCCTCAAGTTGATGGGAGTGGGTTGTTGGCCGCATGGTAACTCTTTAAAAATTTGTCTCTCATTCGATTATTAACAATCCATAAGCCACTTTTAAGTCCACTGATTAACAAGTGGACATAGATGTGGATTTTCCAATGTCCAAACTTTTCTTACCCCTATTATAGATGCTTGGTTGAGGTGATGAACATAACCTTGGAAATAGATTTCTAGGATGAGCCTGAACATGGATGTTGGATGGATCACGTGAGGAAAAGCATTTTTCATCTTTATTTGATTGAGGAGCCCGCAATGAATTGGAAGGATGCCTTAAGCACATAAAAACAAGGATTTTAATTTCGAATGATATCGCCCGTATCGGGTGGTACATACCGCTCCACCAACAGACCGGTACGTGGACCGCCCGCTACCGAGCAGTACCGTCGATTGGGGCTGTTTCCGCCTCGTTACCATTCGAAATCGGTCAGTGATAGTCAATTTCGATTGTTGCCGCCCACTACCGGGCGGTATTAGCCGAGGGAGAAGAAAAGGGAGAGCCTGGAGATCCGGCGTCGTTGTCCCTCGACGATCCCAATCCATCGCCACCCTCCCTCACCGGAGCATATGAGATGTCGCCTCCTCCTCGTCTGAGGTGATGAGGCATCGGCGTCGTCGACGACTTCTCCTGATCCGCGCGGGGAGAAGAAATTGAGTAGAAGAAACGAGGCAACGTCGCCCCCTTTTTTATTTTTTAACTTTTTATTATATATATATATATATATATATATATATATATATATATATATATATATATATATAT